TCAAATATATGTATAATAAACCCATGCGTATATTCACATCTGCATTTCTGTAACTATCCATGTGTATCTATATTAAGCTAAACATGAATTTATACTATGTCTCTTTTTATTTTAGAATAGTTTTAGGATTACAGAAAAATTGTATCAATAGTACAGTGAGTTCCCATATATCCCTCACCCTGTTTCCCTTATGTGAACATCTTACATTACCATGGTACCTTTGTTACAACTAAGAAATCAGTGTTGGTACATTTCTATTAACCAATCTCTACATTTTATTCGAATTTCACTAGTTTTCTGACTAATGTCCTTTTTCTGTTCCAGGACGCCACCTAGGATCTGATATTACATTTAGTTGTCATGCCTCCTTGGGCTCCTCTTGGCTGTGACAGTTTCTTAGATTTTCCTTGTTTTTGATGACCTTGACCATTTTGAGGAGTGGTGGTCAGATATTTTGTAGAATGCCCCTCAGTTTGTCTGTCTGATATTTTTCTCATAGTTAGAATGGGTTTATGGATCTGGGGAGTTCACACAGCTGAAGTGCCCTTATCATATAATATCAGGAGTACTTGCTATCAACATGATTTATCACTGATAATGTTAATATCATTTAAAATGTCTCCTGGCCAAAGTGGTATTTTCTAGTTTTCTCCACTCTAAAATTACTTTTCCCCCACCTTCCGTACTCTATTTTTTGGAAGCACAGTCCACACTAAAAGGGGTGGGGTACTGAACTCCATTTCAAAGAGACAGGAGTATCTATATAAATTATTTGAAATTTTTCTCTAAGGAAGATTTGTCTCTTTCTCCCTATTTAATCAATCATTTATTTATATCAGCATTGACTCATAGATACTTATTTTATATTTGGGCTATAATCTAATACTATGTTATTTATTTTGTTGCTCAATTTGTTTCTGCTTTGGCCCTTGGGAGCCATTTCAGGTTGGCTCCTGTGTCCCCTTGGTTTGTTTATTTTCGTGTCCTGCTTTTTGTTTTTTGAGCACTTCCTTGCTTTCTGGCACAGCAATATGCTCCAGGCTCATCTTTATTCTTCATTCTCACCCCTAGAATCAGTCATTTCTTCAAGGAGCCCTAGTTGCTTTTAGTAGAGAATGGCATTAGAAACCAAGACCTTGGCACTGGGTGTGCTCATTGCTACTGGGCTGTCACTGCTTCTAGCTCTCTCAGCAGGA